CCCCCGCGCAGGGCCCAGGGGCCCCGCCAAAATATCATAGGTTTCTTAACCGAGCCTTTCACTTGGTGAATAATTCTGTACTGTCCTGCTAGTTATGGAGACCTTTCTGATATCTGACCTGTCTTCCCTATGAGGTGGGATGGTTTAGTTTTTCATTTTCAGAAGCAACACAAATCTAGCCTATCATTTCCTAACAAGTTTGCTATGACACTTCGTAGAGTACCATTTGCTTCCTTATCTTCTTTTTTTAAAAAAGAACTATTTATTGAATTTTTAAATTATTATTATTATTATTTTTAAATTTGGCCATAGAGAGAGAGAGGGAAGGTGAGAAAGCAAGTTTCCAGGACTGGGACTCGAACTGTGGTCAGTCATGCGGAAGCCCAGCACCTCAACCACCATGCCACCTGCTGGCCCCCTTATCCTACTTCTTAATCATCAGAGTGAAATAAATGTGAGGGCTGTGAGAATAGCCTATTGAAATGAAATTGGGAAGAAGGCTGTGGGGGTGAGGAAGCATGTACATGTGCATATATATCATGTGGAAACATGCAGGAGGCCTGGGGACCCAGGGACCCTCTGCACACATGGTTTTTAAATTTCATGGTAGGACCTGCAGATGGTGTAATGGTTACATTGCTGGACTCCTATATAGTCGACCATGGTTTGAACCCCTGATCTGGAGGCTTAAAACATGCTGGGCATGTGTGTGTGTGTGCCCAAGATTCCAGGAGGAGAATAGAAGAGAGATTGCAGCATGGTCAGCCCTCCTGGGGGGGGGGTGGTGATTTCTCACTTTCTCTCCCCCGTCTCTATTTCTCTTCAGCCAGTGCACATGCCCAATGGCAAAAACCTTAAAGAAAAAAAAAAAAAAAAGAGGGCAGAAATTTAGTCTGTGGGATTAAAAGTTGGAGCCTCAGGGAACCAGCAGTTAGCGTAATGGCTATGTCGCTGGATTCCCACGTAGTCGACCGCGGTTCGTGTCCCGGACCCGGTGGCTTAAAACTCACGCCGGGCGCGTGTGTGTGCGTGCCCAAGATACCGAGAGGAGAATGGAGGAGAAGGGATTGCGGCGTGACCATCCTGGGGGGTGATTTCTCGCTTTCTGTCTCTATGTCTCTCTCTGTCTGTCTGGCGAGCGCACGCGCCCTACAGTGAAAATCTCTCCAAAAAAAAAAAAAGTTGGAGCCTCTGGGTGGTGATTAGGATCAGATAAGGTCAGTAGAGTAGGATTCTCATCATTGACAAGTGGTGAGTGTGTAAGGAGAGGAGGTGAGACACAGATTCAGATGCAGACACAAACTTATGCCCTCTCACCAACTGATGCCCTGCACCACCCAAAGACTTTCAGAGTCCTCACCAACAAGGAGATTTTCACCAGATGTGGCTCTTTGAACCTGGATGTCCATAAGCATAAGCAAAATAAGCCTCTATTCTTTATAAATGATCTGGTTGGTGGCATTCGGTTGTTAGCTACAGAAAATGGAACAAATCAGCCACACTTCACCTAATATCTACTATATCATTTGTGTAACTTGAGTTTCTTGAACTGCTTCAGGAAATACTTCCTTCAGGTCCAAAATATCCATCCAATTCACAGCTGTTCTTCCCTAAAGTTTCTCCCTCATCTATTCTCCTTTACCCTTCAAGAGGTGATTCATGGGTGGAACCATATTCTACTTATCCAGAATCTTTCTTACATCACTGACTTTTCTGAAAACGGCACAGTGACCCCTCACTAAAATAAAACATGTCTGTCTTCTGATGAAATTGTATTATTTGCTACCTACCCATCTTTGAACCTGGACACTGGGCAATGAAGTTCATAAGGATGATTTCCTTTACATTCAGACCTTAGTGTTCATTATTTTTAATTTCCATTGCATAAAACTTCAACATTACCATTCAAACATCTCCATCTCTGTATTACTGAACTATGAAGTCATCATCCCTGGATCTGAGCTCCTCCCCTTCTTTACTCTCCAATAAACCTCTGTCTTCAGCAGATTTCTAATTTTTTGGCCTTGATCTGTTGCCACGGTCAGCATTTTAACAGGACACCTGCCAGATGAATGTTCCCTCACAAATTACCTTGACTTCCCACAACATGCACTACTTAATCCTTTATCCTGGGCAAACTCAAACCATCCATGGCTTCTGGCCACTATCTGATGATGCTGATAATTATGCTACTTAGTGATAGGGCCATTCCTCTTATCTAACTTCAGCTAGGCTCTCAGGGTGGCTTCCAAGTTGACAAGAATTTGTTTTATTTTTTTCCCTAAACAAATCATTGTCCCTCTTTCCTTGCCAGTGTAGATTTTCTATTTTTCTCACACTCCCAAGCTCACTTTTCCTTTCCTTACAGTTGTTCACTTATTCCTTGGCTTCCTATGCTAAACCAATGAAGGCTGTATGTCAGGAATACCTTCAGTTCAGATGCCTCTATTTCTTTTCTCTTCTCCTCCTTCTCTGAGAATGACATATGTCTTCTCTCCAAGGCCCACCTAGATTTGTGATCAAACCTACCCTTGTTTTCCCCAGAACTTGCCTCAGTGGTTACCTTCACCCTCAATCCTTTTCTTTCCATTGAATTTTATGCCTATATAAATGTTCAGAATCCTTTATCCTTTATTTTATTTTTAAAAATTTATATCCAGAATACACTGTATATTGGCTCAATCAAGGGTATTACCATACTTGTTATCCTCTACAAATAAGTTTTCATTTCTTGTTTCTTATATATTTTGCTTTTATTCTTCTTTTTCCCTTGGTTCCCTATCTCTCACCCTCTGCCATTTCTCACCCTCTCCCCCCCCCCTCCCACACTGTCTCTGGTATCTACAGTTGCTTTCCCGGCTTTTTTTTTTTTTTCCACATTTAATTGACTCACTAATTTAAATACTTTCAGTAGCAAGCATAGCTGATATATACATATCTCTGAACATATGTCTGACATTAAGAATGAAGGAGAGGGAACCAGCAGTTAGCATAATGGCTATGTTGCTGGTTTCCCACATAGTCGATCGCAGTTTGCATCCCAGACCAGGTGGCTTAAAACTCACGTCGGGCACATGTGCGTGTGTGCCCAAGATCCCAAGAGGAGAATGGAGGAGAAGGGATTGCGGCATTACCATCCCCTCTGGGGGGTGATTTCTAGCTTTCTGTCTCTATGTCTCTCTCTTTCTGTCTGGCGAGCGCATGAGCCCTGTAGCAAAAACCTCTCCAAAAAAAAAGAATGAAGGAGAGGCACTGTATGTCCCCAGTTAATACATACTGAATGTCCGCACTCTATGACTGAAACTAATTGACTAAAGGATATAGAAACACAGTATATAGATGTAAATACCAGAAATAGTGTGTGTGAAAGAGGAGGATCCGAGGAAGAAAAATAGGGAGGCAAAGTATTAATGGCATAAAGAAATGTGGTATTATCTGTTCAAGATATTTTGTAGTTTTATTAACTGTACTAGGGAGAAATGTTTACCTGTTGAAATATCCATTTTGTAAGCCAAATAATAATGTGATTGAATGTATAAAAGAAATTAAAATTAAAAAATTAAAAGAAATAATAACCTCAGTGAGTAGAATGAACATACTATAAA